GTGGAGCACCCATGGGGCCACTCAAAGAAGAATCTATGTATTTCATGGGCCCCAGCATGGATTTTTGGAGGTTTATTAATAGTCTGAGATGTATGAAGAGGTCTTGTGTAGTAGTGAGTATGGTAAAAGTCTGTTGCCAGGAAGTATGCTTGATTAGGCAGTTGTCCAAGTACAGAAAAATTATCATACCCCTTTGTCTGAGATAGGCATTGATGACTGTGTCTTGGAGAAGACAAAAGATGTGGTGGAGAGGCCAAAAGGTAATACCTGATATTGGTAATGGTTGATCCCAATAATGAACCTGAGGAATAGTCTGTGTGAAGGATGAATTATTATATGAAAATAGGCATCCTGAAGATCAAGGGCTGAGAATCAGTCTCCCTCATAAAGTGCTGTTGTTATAGTTCCTATCTTTGATTCTGGATAAATCTGTTTAGCATTCAGAGGTCCAGAATGGACCTCCACCCTCCAGTTTTCTTCTGAGAGAGAAAATATTTTTAGTAGAACCCTTTTCCATGGTGTGCTTGAGGAACTGGTTTTGTCCCTGACTGGAGAGACTTATCTCACTAGATGTTCTTAAGTCTTATCTCCCTATCCCATCCAGCTCTAGCCATCATAGGGGAGGAAGTTCTGTAATCTCCAGTTATAATAGATGCTTATGGGAAGGGTCCCTGAAGAAGGATGTGGAAAAGGGGAGGGAAGGGGATGTAGAGTGAAAAGGGATAATGTATCCAGATCTGATTATCTCTAGGACCCACTGGTCCAATATAATATGGGCCCACTAGTAGTAGAAAGGGCACAAGCAATGGCCAAACAGGCAACTGGCTGGAGGTGTTTCTGGTTATTTCTGGAGATGGTTGTGATGCAGTGGATTGTGTATGTTAAGCACGTCTCCTTCCAGGGCGCTGTCTAGACATGTGATCAAAGGGCCACTGGTAATGTCATTGGAAAGGGGAGTCAAATACATACCTGAAGTATGGAGAGTAGTGTAGGAATCCTTCATCGAATGGAGCATCTCATCCGCTTTTTCAGCAAATAGATGGATCCCTATCAAAGGGAAGAATCTCCACTCTTGTCTGGAGTTCTTTTGGGATCCCCAAAGCTTGAAGCCAGGAAGTGCAACACATCACTATGGCAATGGTGGTTGCTCTGGCTACCATATCCACAACATCCATGACAGCCCGCAAGGCAGAATGGTCAACTGATTGACCCTCCTGGATGCTAGCTTGCAATTGAGGGCATATTTGTTCTGGAAGATCATTAAGGAGTTCCTGTAGTTTTCAGTACAGTAATTATTCGTTTAACACGTGCCCACTTAACACATTTTCGCAATATCATGGGGTTTTTTAGAGAACATTTTTCGAATAACATGACCATCCTTGAAATAACACAAAAATAATCAAGTGGCAGACTACTTCCTGCGGTGATATAAGTTGGTGAAAACAGTGGTAAGATGCATGAGCGGATGAACACACATGGTTACAGAGCTCCTCCACTCACTCACGTGTTTATCTTTGTGTTTTAACAAACTGTGGTGATTTGTGTTGCTAGATATCTTGTGTTGTTAGATATTTAATGTTGATGTTGACGATCCAGCACCAATAAAAAATTGACTTTGCCACCACCACCTGCAATGCAACCCCCACCTTTCCATTATTTTTAATGGGAAAATTGTCCCCACATAGCAGATTTTCGCTTAGCACGAACATTTTCAGAAACACATCTATGTTAAATGAGGAATTACTGTAGTTGGAATAGTCATAATTGGTGAATAATGAAGCATAGTTGGAAATGTGGAATTGTAAAGTTGCAGATGAATAAGCCTTTTATCTAAAAAGGTCCAGTCATTTGTGGTCCTTATTCTATATTGTAGCTGTTTTGAATGATGGTGTACCGTGTCAATCACTAATGAGTTGAGTTGGGGGTGGGAAAAAAATTAGTCCATGTCTGTGGCAGATACAAAATACTTCCTGTCTGCCCTTCAGTTGGTGGGGGCAGCAGAAATTGGAGTTTGCCAAATAGTTTCTGATGGTTTCATTATGGCTTCATTGATGGGAAGACCAATCTTTGTGGAAGAGGAAGGTTGCAGTATTTGAAGCAATCTGTGTTGTTTCTCCTGCTCCCTTTCTAAAGCAATGTCCTGAGAATTCACAACCTTTTTTAAAAGTTCTTGAAATTGCTTTCGGTCATCTGCTGGAGGTGAAGATGAGATGACAGTCTTTTTGGGTGAAGAGGAAAAGTTTATGGCCCAAGAGGGTTTATCCGTGTCAGACTGAGGTAAATCATCATACTCCTCCATTGGCTGTTCTTCTGCCATAACTGAAACCATATCAGCTGCGCAGGTTGGTGGTGATTGAATTGCTGAATGGGGCAGTGTGGAGGGTGCCGCATATTGCTGTGGATATTGAGCCGATGGAAGGCATTGTGGAGGATAGGATGGAGGTGGGTAGGGCCATGGGTGATTAAAGGAGGGATATTGAGACATCTGCTGGGTAGTTTTTGGTTTCACTGACTTCCAGAAGGGTGCAGAATACACAGGGGAGGAATGTTGCAATGAAAATCTGCTCCCCTGTTGAGTGCCTAGTTCAGTGCATAGGGAAGACTGTGTGGGTGAGAGCAAATGATGTTCTGCATGATGCCAGAGTGGACTGTTGGCACCGAAGACAGGGGAGTATGGTAATGAGTTGTTCCAGGTTTCCGAGATACTTGAGGCTTGTGTCAGCACCAACCAGTGCCGAGGGTCAACTTTCTTGTGTGCAGTCTTGTCCACTTGAGATGGTGCAAACTGATGCTTAGGTGTCTGTGCCAGGGTGTGTGCTGATACAGGAGTGTACGTTGGTGTGGAGTTATCAGTTGGTACCAGGGGAGGTGGCATGTCCTGACGCTTTGCTTTCAGTGCCAGATAGGTGGTCAGTGCAGATGGTGCTGAGGAGGACAATTTATGTTTTGGCTCTGAGTCCACATGCTTTGGCAGTGCCATTTTGTGCTTGTCGGAGGTGCCAGAGGTGGACGGTGCGAGTGAATAAGTGGTTCTTGCTGATGTCAGCACCTCAGGCAGCAACCAAGCCAAAGACGCCCTGGACTTACAGAAGTCCTGGGGTGGAGATGAGAAGGCTCTCTTCCTTCGAGCTGAAGGTTCTGTGAGCGCAAGCTTTTGAGGCTCTTAACTGGATTTTGTCCCTGACTGGAGAGACTTTTCTCACAAGATGTTCTTAAGTCTCATCTCTCTTTTCCATCCAGCTCTAGCTATCATAGTCAGACAATGCTGACATTTCTGAGAGATGTGGCCCTCTCCAAGACATCACACACAGGAAGAATGCCCATCAGAGACAGGAGTCGCATTTTTTTAAAGCTAGGTAAGCCCAACATGGTGAAAAAAAGGAGGGGGGGGGGGAGTTGAGGAGAAAAACAGTGGGAAGGATTTTTTTTTAAAAAGTTTGAGACGAAAAGGGAATCAAAATGAAGAAGGCAGCAAAAGAAGAAGGTAAAATTAAGTAAAAGAATGTCTTTTGTAGAGAGAAGAATCACACTGTTAAGGAGCTCCATCTTCTGCTGAGGACAGTTGTCATAAATAGGTGCTGCTAAAGAGATTCTGACTTACCTGAAGAGTGAGGTAAGAGTTAAGTAACTGGAGATGCACCTGAGGGAGGGGGCTTGGGCATTCAGCTAATAAAAATGCAGATAGTAATTTCAAACCAAGAGAAAGGTTTTTTTTCTACTCTTTTACTTATTTGTTTTAGATCAGATCAGATTTGTTTCCAGGTATACAGGGAGATGGGCTTTCCCAGGAATGGACTTCTTGAAATGAAGGGAAAAGTTTAGATAGTCCATCAGGTTTTATTGTCTTTCTTGTTTGGGGGTTTGGAAATCATGTCTGAGTTAGTTAATTGTTTTTCTCTTTGTAACTAAGGATTGCAACCCAGGAATTTCCCCAAGTCTATTTCGTTCCATGGCTTTTTAACACCCAATCATTTACTATGCTTGCAACAGCAGTTTTGATTTGATAATAAAAGTGTTTTCCTTTTTGTTTTGACTAACTGGTGTTGCTTGATTGTTGTGTCCTTAAAGCCTACTTGCCTTAATTGTCCAGGAGGAGCACAGCCCATTGTTCTCTGATGATTCTCTCTGTTTCTTTTCCAAGCGAAATGGAGGTTGGGGCAGGGGGAAGAGCTTTGCCTTAGGGAGGGGATTCCCAAGTGATCTCTTCCCTAGAAAAGAGTTTATTTTATATTTTCTTTTACTCACTTGGGCGGTGGCAGCAAGCAAATCAGTCTTTGCCTTTTTGGATCTGAGAGAGATTGAGACTAGAAAAGTTAGTTTCTGGGAGTCACAGAGACAAGTTTTACAGAGTTTATTCTACTGGCTGGTTCCCCATCTCTGTACTCAGAGTGTCAAGTTGGGGAATTGAGCCATGACAATGGTAAAAAAGAAACTGAGTGTGCTGTGCCGCACTTGTGGCCAACAGACATAATGGCATGAGGTAGCCACTGTGGATGCACGGCACAGCAAGGCACTGCAAGATGATTTTTTGTTCTGTAGTTCATATTTTTCATTGTACATTAGATTTAGGTTTTGGCTAGCTCTTGGATACATTTTTTCCCAATGAGAATAATTGTAACTAAGATTTTTATTTTAAAATGAAAATCGCTAGTAATTTTTTAAACAAAATTAAAGAAGATTTCAGTGTTCTAAAGAGTTTGACTTAGAACTACTGTGTGCAACAAAGCAGACAAGATGTGGAAAATTGGTACATTTCTTGGTGCAGGAAACTTCAGTAAAACTCTCCAGATGCCAGGTAGCCCCCCAGGTAGGAGATGATGTGCTTTATACTTTTTTTCAGGGAATTTTTGTGAGCTGTGGAAAGTTCCTACAAACTTGGGCCGCACAGAATTGTTTAGCTAGAATATAAGAGAAATGACTTTGTGGGCAAACAATGTAACCCAAACATGAATAGCTCAAAATACAATATAAATAATTGCATTCTCAGCCCATATACATACATCAATGAAAAGCTTCTCTGGTATCTGCAGTTTAACTTGTTCTGTTTCTGCAGACTCATCTAGTTCAGTAAACACAGCATCTTGGGTAGTCATAGTCCCAACTAATATGTCTAAGGAACAAGGAAAAATATTTAATTAGTTGTCTGTTATGTTCCTCATTTAGGTATGTTTCCCGTCTGATATTCAAAGCTATCATTAATTTTAATTAATCTTATCTTTAGTCAGAGGCCATGTCTACATTATAGAAATTTGTTTTTTTCTGCATTTATGAAACTCCATATGCTAGAAAATCTAAGGGTATATCTAACTTGCAGAATTAGATTCAAAGTACATGAGAAATTTTTAAGATTAAGAAAGTGTTATCGGACCCAACATGATGAATCTTTTTATTCTTTATTTCCAAAGCTTTGAAGCTTTGTATTCAATCCATCTGGATCTCTTTTTCTTCTCTTTACATCATACCAGTGAATAACTTTTAATTGTATAATTTTTTGCATTATGAAACAAAGAAATTGACCCACATGTCAATGTATCTGTTTCATTTATAAAGGCACCAAAACATCAGGCCTTTAAAAAAAAAAACCTTTATTGGTGTATAATGTCATGTTACCCAAAATTGCATATTGCATAATTTCCTCAGTAGTGTATTGTAAAAAGATGCTAAGCCAAGTTCCTTATTTTTTACATCCAAGACAATCCCAATGAATTCAATCAAGTCACTAGGGATGTACAGGCAGTCCCCGGGTTACATGGATCCGACTTACATCGGATCCCTACTTACAAACGGAATGAGGCAACCCCGCACTAGCTGCTTCCCCCCAGCAGACCAGGGAGATGCAAAGCTAGCGTCTCCCCCTCCCCCCCCACAGCAGACCAGGGAGACGCGGAGCGGCTTTTCTCAGCAGACACCTCAGCTTGAGAATAAAGGACTGAGGGAAGTAAGGTGTGGGAGAATAAAACTGAGCTCTGGAGAAATGTTTGGCTAGAGTTTCCCCTACAATATGTACCAGTTCCGACTTACATACAAATTCAACTTAAGAACAAACTTACAGTCCCTATCTTGTACGTAACCCAGGGACTGCCTGTATATAGTTTGGCTCATCATCTCCGTTCCTCTTTTCACTTCTGTTTGGCTCTTTATAGTGCACATTACCTTCTTGATTAGTACTGAAATTTGGGCATTTGTGACAATTAGCTTCTTGTACTTCCTTCTGAATGTTATTGGTAAGGTTAGTATACAGACTACCCAGATCTTCTTTACTTGATGTTTCAGCTAAAATTTCATCATGGGCCTCAATGCTTTCATTTACAAATTTCTTGATCTTTTGAGTTTCGGTCTCTTCAGAAGCATCTGAAATCTCTGAAGTACTATTAGTCATACCACTGTAACTTGCGGGTGTGATGTCTCCTAAATAGTAGGAAAGTCAATAAAAGTAAAGTTGTAGAGCAAGTTTTTGCAAGTTAAGAGTATTCAGGTTGTAACATATGGTCTTCTGTCTTAACTCTCAAACACATACCAAAAAGCTGTCCTATTCTGCCTGTCATTCTGGGATCAATATCCCTCATATTGTGCCAGATATATTGTACCAGACATATTGTGCCAGTAGGTTTGCCCATTTATCAGTGCCTAAAGAACCTGAATCAGGAAAAGCATTTAAGCAAATGCTTAACTTTAAATATTTGAATTTAAGCAATTGATTTCAAAAGGATTGCTTATGAAGCTGTATGTAGGGAGGACTTGTCAATCAGAGAACCAGAGTGAGAATCTCTTCCATTTTTTTATACATATTTTAAGGGTGTTATGAGCTCTGCTATGAAGTAAAACACTCTGGACAGATTCTGGGTATTCTAATTCTTAAGGAAAGAACCAGTGAGGTACCATGCTTTGAGATGCAACATGTATAACTTGGAGTGCTGTATGTGCCTTCCTGGTGGGTACAAGCGGTCCTTGGTCAATGGTAGGGAAATTGGTGGGACAACTAACATTTTGGTTAGGAATGGATACGAGAGGCCATGACAGAGCTATCAATATAACAAGAATTCTGTCACTCCGTATTTTCTGTACCACCTTGTTTAGGTGAGGAATGGATGGGACTACACATAGGAGGTACGAGGTCCATTTGATTAGAAGGGTGTCTCCTAGGGATCCCTTGCCTGTTCCCACTCTGGATCAAAAGAGTTGACACTTTTAGTTGGTTTGGGTAGCAGAAAGGTTGGTTAGTATAAAACATAGGGCTACATTATCCATATATATCCTGACATGTGTTAGCAATGAATGGAAGGAATTATTTGCAGGAATACCTTACTGCCCAGAACATGAGAATATTTATGTGTAAAGCCTTTTCTGTGTTGGACCAAAGGCCTTGGGCAGTATGCTGTGCTAGATGTACTCCTTACCCAGTGAGGGAAGCATCTGTAATTATAGTGATGGTGGGTTCTTGAGTGAGGAAGGGAATCCCCGGGTAAAGGCTACTGTCCACCAATGGAGAAACTGTTTCACTGCCGTAGGGACAGAGCGGGGCTTGGAAAGTGGATGTACATTTGGTCTGTACACTCTTCTGAGCCAGCCCTGTAGGTAACAGTGCATGTAAAGGTGTGCATTCAATATCACAAAGTTGCATGCAGCCATATGCCCCAATAATTGGAGACAGTTGTGGGCAGTGGCCTGAGGGCTGGATTGTAACTTGTAGACGAGGTCCCTTATCTGGTGGAATCTGTCTGTGGGAAGAGAGGCAGTGACTGCTACAGAGTTTAAATTGTATGGTTTGTGTTGGGAATAAAGTAGACTTTGCTTTATTTATTTGCAGATCAAGGTGCTTAAAAACTCAAACTGTGATGGAAGTGTTACATCAGGAGTTGAGTCTGGAGTGTGCCTTTAGCAGACAGTCATCCAGGAAAGGAAATATCATGACATCTTGTTTTCTGAGGTAGGTTGTGTCGACTGACAGGATTTTTTAGAATACTCTTGGAACAGTAGATAAGTCAAACGGTAGCACCTTGTATTGGTAATTATTGCCCACCCTGGTGTATGGCATTGGAGGTGGCATCCATGGGTGTCCATACCACAGAGGCAGGTCCCTATGTTCAGTGCAACTTGGGCGAGTTCTAGCAGAGTAAATAGAATGGTCAATGGGAGGAGAATTCGGTGGCAGGAGAGGGGAAACTACCTCCACATCATCGTCATGTTCCTCACTCAAAAATTGTGCTGGAGAGAGCAGATGGTGTGGTGGTAGGGTGCCTGGTGAATGGTTGGAGTTGAGGAAAGGTGAATTAAAAGTTGAGAAGACTAGAAAGTTTTTTATGAAGTTGTGGTGCAAGGGTCGACAGTGAAATGGTAGGCTGTACCAAAGCAATCTGTGGCACCATTGATTGCACTGGTGCCGATTGTGCTGGGAAGGTTGATCGTGCTTGCATGCTGCCAGTAAAAGCATGGCAAAAATAGTGGGTGCTGGAGGCAGTGCCTGCACTGTTGGTGCAGCAGATTTGGTTGTGAAGGTTTTTTTGTCTCTGGTGGTCTGAGAAGTTTCCAATTCCAGCCTTGGGGGCGAAGGAAGACATGGTGATTTTTCAAATAACATGAGCTTGAGACAAAGGTCTTTTGCCCCAGCAAGCTCGTGTTTTAACTTTTGAGCAGTAGGGGCACTTTTGGGAGACATGAGATTCCCCAAGGGAACAGATGCATTGAAAGTGCCCATCCGAGACTGGGATTGCATCTTTGAAAGAAGTGCAGTGTTTAAATCCTGGTGAACCTATCCTATCTATCTAACTAGGGAAGGAAAAAGGAAAAAAATATTTTTTGGGGGGGAGGGGGGAGGGGGAAGGGAGTGGAGGGAGAAAAGAGAGAAAACAAAAGATTGGTGAGGTAAAATCTTTTACTGGACCAGCTACTTGTTGGTACTCTCTGGCTGTGTCTAGACTGGCAAGTTTTTCCGCAAAATCATCTGCTTTTGCGGAAAAACTTGCCAGCTGTCTACACTGGCTGCTTGAATTTCCGCAAGAACACTGATGATCTCATGTAAGATCGCCAGTATTCTTGCAGAAATACTATGCTGCTCCCGTTCGAGCAAAAGCCCTCTTGCTCAAATCATTTGCGCAAGAGGACCAGTGTAGACAGCACTGTACTGTTTTCCGCAAAAAAGCCTCGATGGCTAAAATGGCGATCGGGGCTTTTTTGCACAAAACGTCCGTGCCAATCTAGATGCTCTTTTCCGAAAATGCTTTTAACGGAAAACTTTTCCGTTAAAAGCATTTCCGGAAAATCGTGCCAGTGTAGACGTAGCCTCTGAATTTCTAGGCCTGTGGAAGAGCTCTGAGTAGCTCAAAAGCTTGTGTTACTCATCAATAGGAGCTGGTCCAATAAAAGATATTACCTACCTTGTCTTTTTACTGCTGGGGTGTCCCAGGAAGCTGGGCACTCCAAACAAGCACTGCAATGCCTTGCTTACCTCCTAGAGAGGCAGCTGCAGGAGCAGCGCAACAGGTGTTCGGGGCATCCCTTTAACCACACGTCTCTGCAAAGGGCAGGAAGCAGCACCCGGAAGGAAATGCTGCCCCCATACCCTGGCAGAAGCAGTTCTGGGTGGCTTTTAATTTCGAAAGAGCGTCCAGCAGTCAGGACGCTCTTTTTCGAAAAAGCGAATCGATTTTCCAATCCGCGTATTGTAGTCTAGATGCGCTCTTTCGAAAGAGGCTTTTTCGTAAGATACTTTCGAAAATGCCTCTTTTGAAAGAGGCTTGCAGTCTAGACATAGCCTATAAGATATAATCTTTATTACCGCAGCATCAGGGCTGCATTAAATCCTAAAATATAGTCAACTAGTCAAATTCAGTTCTTGTTTTCTAGATTTACATTGCTGTAACTCCACTGAAGTTGGTGGAGTTACTCACTATGTACAGTCCTGAAAATATTAACAGAATTTTGTTCACTGATCATTGCTTGATAAAAAGTAACATGAAAGTAAGGTAATATTAGGTAGTTAGAACTTTGATTAAACTTCAGAGAGAAACAGGAGCTTTATCCAAAAGCATAATCACAAACCTTCGTGGGCCTCTATTGAGCCTCTATTTTTATCTCTTTCTTCCTTTTCCCTTTGTCTTTTCTTCTCTTCAGCTTTTCGCCTAATTGCGGCTAGTGCATCAATGCTATCTTGGATCTTCCTTCTCTCTCTGGTCTCCCATTTTTCCCTTTCACTCTTCTCTGCTTCACGTCCGCCCATGGCCCAGGCTTCTGCACAGGCTCTAGTGGCAATAGGCAACAGTTTTGTAAATACTAGTGGCTTAGTGTGTTCATGATGAAAGGGAGACTTCAGTGTCTACTTGCAATGGAATAAAAGTTACTGAGCAGATTAGCCTCAGAAAAAATGTTCCCCTGAGGAGAAAGGACTGTTATATAAGGTTCAGAGATTATGTTGGGGAAACAGAACAGACAAGGAACACAACATTGTTAAAAAACACCATTTGCATCTTTTGTTAGTAACTTTTTAAAAAGTCCCAGATTCTGATTCCCATGACATTTGTGTTACCACTCTGCCATTATGAGAAGAGTTCGGAATACTAATTATGGAGAAAGGCATATGTATAGCCAGTGCTTTTTTTATAACGGTAAGAGGGGAGTTGTCAGTGGGAGGGGGGACAGGGTGATGCTGGGAGAGGAGAGTAGAGGGGAAAGGCATTGGGGGCTGGAGGCAGATGTGCTGGAAGAAGGCTTGAAAGAAGGGGTGGGCGTGAGAAAGGTGAGGATGGAGCAAGTCGTGTGAGGGCACAGAGGGGCAGGAGGGGAACAGGGCAGAGAGTGGTGAGGGGGTAGGCCTCAGGGCACAATACTCCAGATGTGGCCAGAACTGGACACAATACTCCAGATGTGGCCTCACCAGTGCCAAATAAAGGGGAATAATCACTTCTCTGGATCTTCTGGCAATGCTCCTCTTAATGCAACCTAATATGCCATTTGCCTTCTTGGCTGCAAGGGCACACTGTTGACTCATATCCAGTTTCTCATCCATTGTAATCCCCAGGTTCTTTCCTGCAGAACAGGTACTTAGCAAGTCAGTCCCCAGCCTGTAACAATGCTTGGTATTTTTCTGTGCCAGGTGCAGGACTCTACACTTGTCCTTATTGAACCTCAACAGATTTCTTTCGGCCCAATCCTCTAATCTGTCTATCCCTGCCCTCCAGCGTATCTATCTTTCCCCCGAACTTGCTCAGAGTGCAATCCATCCCCTCATCCAGGTCATTAATAAAGATGTTGAACAAAACTGGTCTTAGAACAGATTCTTGGGGCACTCCGCTAGAAACTGACTGCCAACCTGACATCGAGCCGTTGATCACTACCCATTGGGCCCGACCATCTAGCCAGCTTTCTGTCCATCTTACAGTCCATTTTTCCAATCCATATTCCCTTAATTTGCTGGCAAGAATATTGTGGGAGACCATATCGAAAGCTTTGCTAAAGTCAAGGTATATCACATCCACTCACTTTCCCATATCCACAAAGCCAGTTACCTCATCATAAAAGCTAAGCAGATTGGTCAGGCACAACTTGCCCCTCTTCCAAGTGCTTCAAAATGGATTCCTTGAGGATCCCCTCCATGATTTTTCGAGGGACTAAGGTAAGGCTGACTGGTCTGGAGATCCCTGGATTGTCCTTCTTCCCTTTTTTAAAGATGGGCACTACATTTGCCTTTTTCCAATCATCCAGGATCTCTCCTGATCTACATGAGTTTTCAAAGATAATAGCCAAAGGCTCCGCAATGACATTTGCCAACTCCCTCAGTACCTTTGGATGCATTAAATCCGGGCCCTTAGATTTGTGTATGTCTAGCTTTTCTAAATAGTTCCTAACTTATTCTTCCCCACCAAAGGCTGTTGCTTTCTTGCGCAAGAAATTAAGGTGCCTGTCTACACTGGCCCTCTTGCGCAAGTATTCTTGCGCAAGAGGGCTTATCCCTGCCTTAGCCTGTTGATCCCTGCCTATAGTAGTGCTTGGGATTCTTCCTTCCTAAGTGAAGGATTCTGCACTTGTCCTTGTTGAATCTCACCAGATTTCTTTTGGTCCAATCCTCCAATCTGTCTAGATCACTCTGGAACTTATGTTTACCTTTCAGCGTGTCTACTTTTCTCTCCAGCTTAGTGTCATCTGCAAATTTGCTCAATGTGCAATTCATCCCTTCATCCAGATCATTCATGGAGATCTTGAACAAAACTGGTCCCAGGATTGATCCCTGTGGCACTCTGTTTCAGATCAGCCCTATACCAGACATTGAGATGTTGACCACTATCTATTAGACAGTGAGCCTTCCTGATAACACCCCTGCATACTCAAGTAATATTTTTATACTCCTCTCTAGTCATCTGGCCAAGTTTCCACTTCTTGTAAGCTTCTTTTTTTGTTTAAGCTTACCGTGGATTTCCCTGGTAAGCCAATCTGGTCGCCTACCATATTTGCTTTTCTTGCTGCTCATTGGGATGGTTTGTTCTTGTGCTTTTACTAAGGTGTCTTTAAAATACTGCTAGCTCTTCTGGACTCCTTTCCCTCGTGTAAGCATCGATCTGGTCGCCTACCATATTTGCTTTTCTTGCTGCTCATTGGGATGGTTTGTTCTTGTGCTTTTACTAAGGTGTCTTTAAAATACTGCTAGCTCTTCTGGACTCCTTTCCCTCGTGTAAGCATCGCAGGGGATCCTGCCCATAAGTTCTCTGAAGGAGTCAAAGTTTGCTTTTCTGATGTCAAGGGTGTGAATTTTGCTACTCTGCTTTCTTCCTTTGGTCAGGATCCTGAAATCTACCATCTTATGATCACTGCTTCCCAGGTTGTCACTCACCTCTACTTCCTCTACTAGTTCATCCCTATTTGTGAGCAGCAGGTCAAGCTGCGCATGGCCCCTGGTCGGTTCCTTTAGCACTTGTATCAAGAAGTTATCCCCAACATTCTCCAAAAACTTCCTGGATTGTCTGTGTTCTGCTGTATTGGTCTCTCAACAGATGTCAGGGTGATTAAAGTTGTCCATGAGAACCAGGGCCTGCAATCTAGAAGCTTCTCTCAGTTGTCCGAAGAAAGCCTTGTCTACCTCATCCACCTGATCCGGCGATCTGTAGCAGACACCTACGTCAACATGACCCCTGTTGCTTCTACCTCTAAACTCAACCCACAGACTCTCAACAGTCTTTTCTCCCTCTAAATACTGGAGTGCCGAGCAATCATACTGCTCTCTTAGGGTACATCTACACTTGCAGCCTTCCAGTGAAAAGGGCATTTGAAATAAAGCCCTCTTTCGAATTACCTGTTATTCCTCCTGCAGTGAGGTTTAACAGGTCGTTTGAAATAGAGCTTTATTTTGAACACCCTTTTCACTGCTGCATGTAGATTCGGGCAGTTATTTCGGGCTTGTAAATTTAAAAAAAAAAAAAAAGGCACCTGGCCAGGAAGATGCAAATCAATTGCGGGATATTTTAATCCCGGGCTTGATTTGCAATTCCCAATGCCTACATTTGCAGCCCTATTCCGAAATAGGCTGCGAGTGTACACATACCCTTACATACAGTGCAATTCCTCCTCCTTTTCTCCCCCGCCTGTTCTTCCTGAACAGCTTATATCCTTCCAAGACAGTCATGCGAGTCATCCCACCAAGTCTCCGTTATTCCAATCAAATCATAGTTCTTTAACTGGGCCAAGGCTTCTCATTCTTCCTGTTTGTTTCCCAGGCTTATTGCATTTGTGTACAAACACCTTAGATAGCCAGTTGATCACCCTACCTTCTCCATTTGGGTCAGGGGTCCTCCTTTGTTGCTTGTTTCTCCTTGTGTTCCTTCCTGACTTCCTTACTTACCTCGGGGTATGTCTACACTACAACGTTAATTCGAACTAACTTAGTTCGAATTAGTTAATTCAAACTAAGCTAATTCGAACTAACGGATCCAGACTAAAAAACTAGTTCAAATTAGCATTTTGCTAATTCGAACTAGCATGTCCACATTAAGTGGACCCTGAACTGGGGTTAAGGATGGCCGGAAGCAGTGCCGGCAGGGCATCAGAGGCGGACTTAGAGCGTGGCGATGCTGTCTCAGGCTAGCCAAGGGCTGTGCTTAAAGGGTCCCGACCCCCACCCCGGACAGACAGTTCTCAGGGGTGCCCCGCTTGCAAAGCAGTCCTGGCTTGGAGTGCCCGGACTACCCACACTGGGCATATCACACCACTCGGCCATCAGCCCGGCTGCACTTGCCGCAGGCTGCCATCTGGGGAGAGGAGGCAATTGGGGGGCTGCAGGAGAGCTTCCACCCCCAGAAGCCCGCAGAGCCAGCCCAGTCCTCCCCATCGGGGGCTCATGCCCCATTACTCCCTCACCTCCTTCCACTTACCCTTCCCTAGCCCCTTTTCTTGATGTACAAAATAAAGATAACGTGTCTTCCAAAATGGAATCTGTCTTTATTGAACAAAACTGGGGGAGACTGGGAAAAGGAGGTGGGAGAGGGGAAGAGAGAGGGCGGGATAGGGGAGGGCAACTAAAATGATCAGGGGTTGGAAACAGGTCCCATATGAAGAGAGGCTAAAGAGACTGGGACTTTTCAGCTTAGAAAAGAGGAGACGGAGGGGGGACAGGATAGAGGTCTCTAAAAGCAGGAGTTCTTCATTAGTTCCCCATAAAGAAGGACTAGAGGACACCAAAGTAAAGGAATGGGTAGCAGGCTTCAAACTAGTAACAGAAAGTTGTTCTTCACAAAGCAAAGAGTCAACCTGTGGAACTCCTTGCTGCAGGAGGCTGTGAAGGCTAGAACTAGAACAGAGTTTAAAGGGAAGTAAGATCAAGTCACGGAGGTTGGGTCCATGGAGTGCTATTAGTCTGGGGGTAGGAGTGGTGTCCCTGCCCAAGGTTTGAGGAAGGCTGGAGAGGGATGGCATGAGACAAATGGCTTGGTCACTGTCTTCGAATTAAGTTCGAACTAGCAGAGCGCTAGTGCAGCGCCTATCAAAGTTAATTCGAACTAACGTCCGTTAGTTCGAATTAACTTTGTAGTGTAGACATACCCTCAGGGCTTTGGTCACCGTCCCCCCAATGAACCTAGTTTAAAGCCCTCCTCATTAGGTTTTCAAGAATCCCCGCGACGATGCTCTTTCCTCTTTTGGTTAGGTGGATCCCATCTCTTTCTAACAATCCTTGTGCCCAGAACAGCGTCCCATAGTCAAAGAAACCAAAGCCCTCTCTCCGACATCACCTGCGCAACCACACATTTACTTCCTCAATTCGACGATCCCTACCTGGACCTTGTCCATCAACCAGAAGGGTGGAAGAGACCACTTGCGCTTCAAATTCCTTGATCCTTCTTCCTAGCACTACATAATCTGCTGTGACCCACTCAAGGTCATTCTTGGCCGTATCGTTTGTTCCTACATGGAGTATTATTAGGGGGCTGCACCCCCTGCTCACTAAGTCTTGGCCGTATCGTTTGTTCCTACATGGAGTATTATTAGGGGGCTGCACCCCCTGCTCACTAAGCTTGCCAACCCCCCTCTCTCTGGGGATAGGTGTCAGGCCAGGGGGGATGGTGCAAGAGCAGGGGAGGGTGGAGGAGCAGGCTGGGAGTAGGTGTCTTACAAGGGGGTAGGGGTCAGGAGCAGGCTGGAGGTGTGGAGTCTTGGTGGAAGAGGTGAGTGAGGGGGCTGGGTGTGCGAGGTCTTGGCAGGGTGGTGAGTGAGGGGGTTGCAGGTATCAGTTCTCAGACTGGGGGAGTATGAGTGAGCAGGCGGGGGGTGCATGGTCTTGGCCAAGGTGATGTAAGATGGGGCTAGGGATACATGATGGGGCTGGTAGTGCAGGGAGAGGGGAGGATGTACGGCTCGGGGGGGGGGGAAAGGCGCGTAGCTCCCCTCCCCCCCAGGAGGGGGAGAAGGGTACGTGGCTCCTAGCATCCCTGGGAGGGAGGAAGGGGGGAGAGTGCGTGGCTCCCAGCCTCTCCCCAGGAGGGGGGAAGGAGAGAAGGTGTGTGGCTTCTGGCCCCCTGGGAGGGGGGAGAGGGAGAGGAGGAGGCAGAGCAGCTGAGGGCAGAGGGCATGATGACATCAGTCTGTCATCCTGCAGGAAATTTTTTTGTATATCTATTCACTTTCTCCACGCCACTCATATAACACTTTGTCATATCTCCTTAATCATCTCTTTTCAAGCTGAAGAGTCCAGTCTTTTAATCTTTCTTCATATGAAAGTTGTTCCATATCCCTACGCATTTTTCTAGCCCTTTTCTTCATCTTTTCCAATTTCAACATTTTTTTTTAGATGGGGCAAAAAGAACTGCACACAGTATTCAAAGTATGGGCATACCATGAATTTATATAGTGGCATTATGCTCATTTTTACCTTATTGTTTATCATTCTTAATAGTTTCTATGATTGTATTGCTTTTTAGACTGCTGCTGGATCCTGAACAGATGCTTTCAGAACTATCCATAAGGAATCCAAAATCTCTTTCTCGATGGATAACAGCTAATTTAGACTCATCATTTTGTATGTAGAGTTGGGCTTATGTTTTCATATGTGCATTATTTTGCATTTATCAACATTGATTTTCATTGGATATTTTGTTGCCCAGTCACTCTGTTTTTTGAGATCTTTTCACTCTCTGCCTTGGACTTAACTATCTTGGGGTATGTCTACACTACAAAGTTAGTTCGAACTAACTTTCATAGGCGCTACACTAGCGCTCCGTTAGTTCGAATATAATTCGAACTAACGGAGCGCTTAGTTCGAACTAGGTAATCCTCATTCTACGAGGATTAAGCCTAGTTCGAATTTACTAGTTCGAATTAAGGGCTGTGTAGACCCTTAATTCAAACTAGTGGGAGGCTAGCCCTCCCCAGGTTTCCCTGGTGGCCACTCTGGCCAACACCAGGGAAACTCTAC